ATGATTGCCAGAATGATGAATTCAATGGAGAAACTGCCCTTTCCATCACCACCAAGTTCTGGTTGTCTAGAAAGACAACAGGAAATCCTGCCCCAGTTTCCTGTTACAAATTCTCCTAGAAAAATGTCATGTCTCTGGATGAAGCCTGATGGTTGATGCTTAAGACATGCTCTAAGGGACTGATGCTGTTTGTTGATCAAGGTGACTGCTGCAAAGTTGAACATGCTCCCATTTGATGTTCTCTAAGCTATATAGCTGAGTATTTGGTATTTGCAAATACCAAGGTGAGACAAAGGTTTTCTTATGAAGTCCAGGGGTGTGGACATTTAGTAGTCATTACCTAGCAAGAGGAGCCCCCTTCACAATCATCCACAAAATAATTTGCCCATGTACACAAAATGACTTGGCTACCCTCTCTCCTGCTCCAGCTTTCAGTTGTGGGGAAACTCTTCGTTCTTCTTTTTAAACTCTGTGCTTCGCAGCAGGCCCAAATACTACCCAATCATTTTTTATAATAAAAATATTCTGATACTTACCACACTGTTATTGAGGTTTTACAACTTAAACTGGAAGGACTCAGATTCAATATAAAGCTTTCAGCATTGTTGAGTATCCATAATAGTATGTGTATCCATGGTAACTTCAAGAAAAGGTATGGGCATATAATCCCTCTTAAGTAATACAATTTTATGTTTCTGTTAGAAGACAAAGAAAGGTAAGATATTTATAGTCTTATTAAAACAGCTTGCGTATGTTGTAGGATACAAGCACACATTTTTTAGCAGCAAAATTGAGATTGTTTTTGTAAATCTTTAATATGTGGCAATAATTCAGGAATATGGGTAAAAATGCATACACAGGCTCCTGGTGCTATTGCTGTTGGACACTTGCAGGAAAACTAACCTGAAAAATAGCAACATAAATTTAATCTCTCTTCCCTTATTTTCATAATGTAGCAGAGTAGTCATAGCTAATTTTGTCAGTCATGTTGCTTACCATCTACAGGGCACAATTATGCCTTCAGTGACATAGATTCAGCTCCCATTGATGAGAGGTGGGCACGCTCCCATTTGATGTTCTCTGCAACTGTATAACTAAGGGAAGAAGTGGCCTTAAATTGGTCGCACCAAACATTTTGTCATATTTATATTGAACGTTAAAGAATTGACATATTAGTTACTGTAAATGGGTTGCTTTGCCTGCAGAAACCTCAGGGTTTTGCTCCCTGAGGAGCTCTTCAATCAGTCCTAAGCACAGTCTTTGACCAGCAAATAAATAAAACTGAACCCTTCTGCCCTATTCTGGGAATTAGGAGGGAGCCCTTTGGCTCTGACCCCAGCACAGCAGCCTGGCTCCTCCTTGGTAGCAAACTTGTTCTGTTCCCAGCTTTCCTCCTGCTTGCAAACTGTCCCCTCACCATTTGCCACCTTTGTGCTCTCTGCCCTGGGGTTTCAAACCTTCCCCGAGAGACTCCCTCATTATCCGAATACCTGCAGCTGGGCTCTCAACAGGGCTGACTGTTACATTTTACAGGGACTAACTGCCGTGTTACAGTTAATGTGTGCAGACAGAAGTTACTTTTGTTGTGTGATCTGCCCCCTGAAAATGCTCTACAGCCATGCATGACACACATGGGAGGCTGCAGAGTGCTTTAGAAGTGGCCAATCATGCGACAAATTAACTCTCATCTAATGAGGTATCAGATAAAGCCACTCCAAAGTGAAACACCTTAGGGAACTTGTGTTCCTTAGGCTTAATCATCCCTTCCTTCCTTTTGCTTGAAGAGACATTGGTTAAAACAATATTTTTATGCAAAAGAGGGATGGAAAAATCCACAACAAAATACTATGTAAAGGCAAAAGGATTTCTAAATGGGAGATTATTTTTTTTAAGTTTTCCATGTGGTTTCAGATTTTCTTTGATTGGACATAAAAACCAAAGAAGGAATGCAAGCATAGGCTGTTACCTCACAGAAATTTTCTTCCCCAGCTGCTGAGCCACAGAAACTTGCTACATGCGGTTTTCCAGCCACGAACAGTAATTCACTGAGTGGACATCTACCTCTCTCTGCCACTGTGGTATACTGAATTAGGTGTTTTGAGCTACACCTACAAGATGATAGAGAGTGATTTTGCCTAGCCTGATTTGCATCCAGAGAAATGAGACCAAGACTCCAAGTCAGTAGACTCTCCTGACAACCTAATGCTGGATGAATTTCCCTATGTTTTCTTCAGCTACAGAGAAAACCGTTAAGGCATCACTATTTGAAGAAGCTCTATTTTTGTTTGGGTGATGCTTTCACTATACAGCAATGCTAACGGGAGTCATAAAGGGATCATAAGCCCTGAAGAATTTAACTCTTCTGTCAGTCTCCTTCATAGCACATGTTGGCTCAAGGCAGAAACTTAAGTATGCCTAGTAATTACCAGGCATACTCTGCAAAGTAGAGTGTTGGGGAGATGGAAAATAATGGAAAGGAGTCAATGGCATAACAAGCAGAGCTGGCACCTGGGGCAAACCCTGCAGGGGAGTTGGGGGCACATGCAGTTTTGAGATTGCCAGGGTTGGGGGCATTACCCATGCTGGGAACTCCTAAGTAGTCCCTGGCTGAGCTACATCTGCTGCTGCCACATGCTTTCCTTGCCCCCATTGTTGCTATTAAAACAGCAGCAAGGAATTGGTTTGGAGTTCCCAGCATGGGTATGCTGCTGGAGCGTGCACTCCATGGGAATGGGAGGTAAAAACTGGCCTCTCTCCAACTTGGCACTGACAGCAGATACCCCTCTCGCCTACCCCTAGTTATGCTACTGGAAGGGATCCACTTACAACTCTCTCTAGCACATGAGGAGTCTCCTTACAACTCTCTCCAACAACAAACTCATTTAATATATTCCTCCCCAAAACTGTCTCAGTTGTGCTCTGACTCTCACAATGGCCAGAGAGCAGAGCAGTAGATCTAGGACTGGATTATCTACCTTTCCCTGCAGATTTTGGAGGAAAAATGTTTGATAGTCCCAAGAAATGGGAATCATGAAGCACAGGGAGCAGAGTGATGTTCTCCTCCTAGTTATAGTAAGAGAGAGAAGCAAGCAATTTTCTTGTAGCAACCTCCCAAACCATTATAAAGATGCACACTGCACTCTGCTTCTACATTTGTGACTTGCAGTCATGGTACTAGGGTTGTGTAGTTGGTTTGGGGGTATGTCTTGGCTTTAGTGTTAGTCTTGAGGCCCATTTTTCCTTGGAATGAGATAGTCTGCCATGTAGCTTGAAAAACTAAATGTGCTGGATCCAGCCCTAATTGCTTTGTTTTATTTTAAAGTAACCCCTGGAAACATAACAGTATGGTTTGGCATTTGAAGGTTTAACTCAGTAACTGTGAAGGTAACAAACACTGACACACACAAAAAAACATGGCTAAAATCTTGACTTAATGGCATCCTTTAATGAAAATCCCAGTCTAGAAGAGGTTTAAATGGTAGCTGGAAGCTTTCCCATAGGTGTCCTCAGTTCTCATGTGGAAGTTACCTCTGAGACGCTTGCCATCGATGGTAAGCCTACATGTGAAGGAAGAGAGTTGTGTGATGCATTTATCATTCCCAAATGGACTTCGCGATAAACTGAAAAAAATGTTCACGTGTTAACTTTTCACCAAAGTCCATCCACATGGTAGCATCTATATTCCTGGTGAGCAGCCAAAGGTGCTACAAGAAGGTGGAGGAAAGTGCATGGGCGTGCACATAGCACGCTAGAGTCCAGTGATTTTCCTTAAATCTATCCAGATAGATCTTTTTTTCCTAGCATGCCCCCTTCTGTGGATTTTCTGTGGGAGGGACAGCCTGTCCTTTGTTTAGGAACACCATTAAGTCAAAGCTTGCTGTCTTCCAGCTCTTCCTGGAATGTAGATGCAGAGCACAACATGTGTCTTTATAGTGGTTGGGGAGGTTACGACCATAAAATTGCTTACTTCTTTGTCTTACTATAACATTACATTCATGATCAGTGAAAATGCTTGGGTAGAAAATCCCAGAATCTAAATAGGAGGGACTCTTCACAAGACATTCTTCATGTTGTATTCTTGACTCTTGAACTCCCTTTCTTGATCAGCCACACGAGGTTTTGTTAACCTTACTGACATGCCACAAAGCCGGCTTTCCCTATGGGCATTTGGAAAGGTTGTGGGAAAAGAATTAAAATGCACCACAATATATCTGTTCACAAAAAAATATGAAAAAAATATTTCTAGTGATGTGAATATATCTACTTTACTACAAAATACATTTAACTCTATTAAAAAGATTTTACCTACCATTTTTACTCTGAAGAGCAAAGAGCTAAAAAAAATCTCAGTTTCCAAAACCCACTATTTCCAAATAAACCACAATGTTACAGAGCCCTTTCATTATACAGTGTACAGGACTGTAGAATGCAAACACATACACTGTACTGTTTAAAATTAATTCATATTTCTAGGAGACACGATCTGGGTGAGTGTGTGTGACTTCCTATTTTTACTTTCTTTCTCTTGACTTCCTTAGCTGCTTCTACCTTCTTAGTTGAAAATGCACATGTGCTGTATTACAGTGAGAGATCTCTGTAAATGTTTGGAGGCAGCATCTGTCAGACAAGAAAACTTACAAGAAAACATGCTTTTCATTCAAAGCAGATCCACCAAAGCTACTTCAGTGTTGGAACCCATTTATTTGTGTTGCTTAAAGGCATTAATAAGACCAAAGTACAGTTACCACAAAACTTGGTAATAAGCTAAGGTACTTTTAAAAAGCACGCTTTGCCTACTTGGCATCACAGTTTCCTAAAAAGAGCCTGAACCAACTGGCATACAGAGACTCGGATAGTGCATCCAAAAACTGTAAGCAAGAGTATGACATGCGTTTTTTTTAAATTGGAAAGTCTAAATGTTACAATAATTGTTGGACCAAAGGGACCCTCTTCAGGCATAAATAGCAAGACTCCTACTGTCCTCTTGCAGAACAGCTCAGCTGCCAGCAAAAGCAGGTGCTCTTACCCTATCAGTGCTCCAGGGGAAATATTTAGTGAGTATTCACAACTCTTTTAATAAATGAATGTATTATACAGCTATTAGTTTTTCAAATATGTTCACAAATTTTTCTCAAAGGACAAAAGCATGTAAAAGCAAGTTTTAAAAGTTATTATTTTAAGCAACTGCTTGAGTTTAACAGTCTGATGCAAGAGTATTTGCAATGACTATGTTAATTTTCAAATGTTTTTTGTACAAAATGTGACAGCAAAGCAATTAATTAAGTTTGAAAAGTATTTGACTTTAAATGTTGTGCCATGAAGCAGAATTTTTAGAACACAAATTTAAAATAAATCATGTCTCTTGGCAAAGTCACATGCAATTTAATCTTTAAAAGAATAAATATACCATTAATGTTTTCCACAGAAACATTTGCTAGTCTAATTAATTCAAGATGTGATTCTAATAAGATTTTAAAAGAAAATAAGAAACAGATTTCTTCAAATGTATTACCGTGAACAAGTTCGACTTATTTTTATTTTTTCCCATTAGAAACACTTGTCGGAGGTAGAATTACAGATTTGTAGCATACTGTATGGAAACTTCAAATCTGGAAGTTTTATAATAATGTTCTTGGGAGCAATAAGTTTTTTAATGTTTTAGATGTGTATTTTGTTTTTTGCTCAAAACCTATGCTGTCTTAAATTTCATTGGTTATAGTTACTCGGTTTCGAATCTATAGTGACTAATAAGGCTAACATATTTCTTCTTTCCATGTGTAAGGAAATGGAAAAGCTGATGCTTGTCTACAGCTCCTGTAAAGTTATCTGGACACTGCTTTTAACAATTCTGGGCTGTGCCAGCTGTCTGCCTGTGGGTGATGAGTCTATTTGCACAGCAGAGGAGCTTGCTAAATACAGCATAGTCTTTACAGGGAAATGGAGTCAGACTGCTTTCCCTAAGCAGTATCCCCTGTATAGGCCTCCAGCCCAGTGGTCATCAGTGCTAGGTAAGTAAAAATAGACATTGAATTTTTGTTCATATTTTCTTTTAATAAAGGATAAGTAAGAACTAAAGCAGCTTTAGAAATAAAACATAATTTACAGGACTTGCCGTATCCAGAATGCTTACAAAAATCTACAGCTGTTTCCAGTTGACTTCTGTTTCCAATTGGCTACAGCCGAAGTAAACAGTAATAGGTTAAATATTTTAGCATATTCTGAATGTTGATACGCATATTGTTCCACCTCAGAATAAAAACAGAAAAACTGCAGGAATTAAGACAATCTAAAACAGACTTTTACAGTGCACAATGTATTCCCTTCATTAGGTGTCACCCATAGTTCTGACTACAACATGTGGAAAAAGAATGAATATGCCAGCAATGGCATACGTGATTTTGCTGAAAAAGGTGAAGCATGGGTTTTAATGAAGGAAATAGAGGAAGCTGGGGAAAGAATCCAAAGTGTACATGGGATCTTCTCCGCTCCTGCTGTTTCTACTGGTACAGGAGAAACATCTACTGAATTAGAAGTTCATTCAAGGCATCAGTTAGTAAGTGTTTTACATTTTCATTTTAAGGGGCTCTGACTGGTTTATTTTCTACCAGTGACGGGCAAAATGCCAAATACACAAGAAAGCCAAAGACTTGCTAATAGAATCCACCAGTTTAAGGAACTCTAAGTAAGTTCAATACTAAAAAAGCTCACTGGCATATTTCCTTTTAGAAACGCTAAAAAAAAGTATGATCCTAAACACTGTCACCTAAGGAGTCAATCCTGAGACTCCCAGGCTTGACGACATGAGGACAAGACATGCTTTGTCAGTTTTTTTAATTAAGTTTTTATTTTAATCTATAGGTTTCATTTGTTGTACGAATTGTGCCAAGCCCTGATTGGTTTGTGGGGATAGACAGTCTAAATCTATGTGAAGGAAATCGGTGGAAAGAAGAAGTATCAGTAGATCTTTTTCCATATGATGCTGGAACCGACAGTGGCTTCACATTTTCCTCACCAAATTTTGCCACTATTCCCCAGGACACCGTTACAGAGGTAAGTTCATATCTGTTGCTTCTATATGCTGAATTATGCCCTACCAAAATGATATATGATTTCTTTTCTTAAAGTAAAACTTGTTTTGAAATTGCAGGATATACATTTTTTCTTGAATAAATTATTTCAGTATTTGGGAATTCTGGGGCTGTATCTGGACTTGCTAGCAACTCCATGGTGATATCACTTAGCATTTGTTTTGCGAAGCCATTTCATTAAATTAATTTTTGTATCTGGGATCATAATACATTTGTACACTCATTTTTAAATAATTGCTGTAGAACAAATAAATGTTTAATGGTGTTGAGGTGAGCTTGTTGTTGTGATGGTCTAGGAAATATGAGAGGCAAAAATTCTTGTGGGTGATCCCTTATACCGGATGAACTGCATAGTCCCATAAATAATATTTAATTGGTTTTCATGCTTTAATAAAAAGCTAGTTACATTTTAAAATAAAATAAAGCAGGGAAAACCCAGTGTACTCGTTGTGCTAGATACTTATCTGTGGCAGGGAATCTCAGTTTGGGAAAGGAAGGACAGCTTTGCTCAAGCATTTTTCTGCTGCTACTGACCTCTTCTTTTTTCACCCCTTCTTAGCCTACTCTACACACCATCTACTTCATACTACTCTCTTCAGGAAGCATTTTAATGGTAGGGAGGAACAGTAGCTCAACCCCACACTGTTAAATGGTCAGCACCCAGACAACAACTTCACAGTCCTGGATCAAAATGTAGTATTAGTGGCAGCAGGAAAGTGGGTACAGAACCGGAAATGCAGCTCTTCAGACTTCCTGTGTAGAAGTTCCCTGTCAGGCATAGCACCACCCACCATTTCCAGTTGATAGTCTTGTACTCCCCTGGTCTCTTCCTTCAACCTCTGCCTCCCTCCTTTACAAGTGCCACTGTTTCTTGGGTAATGCCAATCCTTCAGTCCTTTCCACGAGGGACTAGGGTAGGGGTTGGCATTGTTTTTGTGCAGTGCCAAAAACACCTGCAGCCTCCACTTGTAAGATGTTGGCATGCTAGGGACGGGTGGCTGGGGAACTGCAAGGGGCTTGATCCTTGTTGTGCCAGCGCAGCCCATGCCCCCTTCCTTGCCATCTGCTCTGAGGCACATGCGTCAAGCAAAATGCTTTTGCATGCCACCCTCTGGCACCCATGCCAGGGGTTGCCTACTCCTGGACTAGGAGATTATGTTAATGATAAGAAATTAGCTGGTTTGTGAGTTTGGAGTACATAAGGGCTGAATACCCCTGAATGAATGTTACTCGCCAAGAAGTATTAATAAGAAATGAAAATTAGTTTTAAAATTCTCTTCTTACTAATAACATGGTAACACTATTTCTCTAAACTTCTTTTTTTTTAATGTCATAGATCACTTGTTCCTCTCCAAGTCATCCAGCAAACTCGTTTTATTATCCCAAGTTAAAAAATTTGCCACCGATTGCTCGTGTAACCCTGGTGAAACTTAAGAAAAATCAACGGGGTGTTCCTGTTTCTAAACTGAATAGAAAAGGCAATGAAATAGATGATTCAGTCTCAGGTAAGTGGATAGTATTTGGATAAGTTAGGTGCTTTTGTCCCCATTCACTATGAAGCAAGGAAAGAAACAAACCCGCAGAAAATGCATTCAACTCGGAAGGCCATTTGATAGAGAAACACAAATTAGCAAAATATTCTATCTCCTCATAGTGGCAACTCTTTCTCTTACATATAGGATTGTGACATGGAAATGGTTTGAAACCAAAGAAGAGACATTCCATATTTTTCTCTGTAATTCTTTTCTGTGTGACAGCACCTACTATTCCTATGAATTCTGGGTCTGCTAGAACTTATCCCTATATAAATCAGCAATAATTCCTATGAAGTAAATAGCAATGCACCAGCATAACATTAGAATAAGCACCATAAGAACTGGGCTATTTATGACAGGAAACAGAGACTACATCTGAGAATGAGAAAGAAGTTACTATCAGAAGAGGGTGCCTGAAAAAAGTGGAGGAAGAGACTATTCATGTCCACAGGTTTGAATTAGGTCCATAGCACAGCTGATTCAAACTAGAAAATGTATACAGAGCTGCCAGGCATATGTTGAAGAAGGGATACTCTGTCAGAATTGCAACTCCCCAAATCCTGTGCAGATTTTAAAACACATGCTCCTTAGTTTTTACATGAGAATGGCACAAAGGAACTGTCATGCCTGTTTTCATCTTGTTAAGAAACCATATTGGTAATGATGTGAAATAAAAGACAAAGTTCATCTAACCGACTGGGACATAATTATGATGGCAGCTGACATCTACAGAACAAGTTACTTGATAAAAAATGTCAGACTTTTACTGAAATGCCCAAATGGAGCCAAGTTTTAATTCCAAACAAACTTGTCCCACCCCAGGACTGACTGTCAGTAAGAGCTAGTGCTAATGTAAAAAGTTTAGATCATGGTATCAAGTCTGTTTTATAGATAACTTTCAAGGCTCAAAATCGCTCTCTGAACAGAAGAAAATGGGCAGATGGCAAAGTACCCTTGCCAGTATACTGTACACACCTGTGTGGTGACTTTCTGAACGGATCACAAGGAGGGACAGTTATGAGTAAGAGAAGGACTTCAGGGCATAAAACTGAACGGGGAAGAACAGTGGGCTACGCCCCTTAGCTTCCACGTAGCAGTAGCCATGTTTTAAACACATACCAATTTCTTCAGACTCAAAATAAGGATTTCATTCTCCCAGCTCTGTGCTAGGAGCTTAGACTACGATGTGAGCTACTCAAAAAGTCACCCTCTTCACAGTTAAGTAACGGATGGCAAATATGTATGAATAGATTTCTACCTGAGTTAGAGTATTTTGTTAAATGTATTATGATTAGTAAACAGGAGCTGATCATGTGCCATTCTACCAGAGTGGCACAAACATTTGGAGTTGTTGGTTGTAGCCGTGTTGGTCTGAGGACATAGGCAGACAAGGTTCTTTGGGTAGATGTGATATCTTTTTTATTAGACCAACTAAATAGGTGGAAAAATTGTTCTTTGCAAGCTTTCTGGCACAAACAGCCTGCTTCAGGTGTAGATTCTCCCTATGCCTGAAGGTCGTTTGTGCCCAAAAGCTTGCAAAGAACATTTTTTTCAGTTTAGTTGGTCTAATAAAAGATATCACATCTATCCAAAGAAGCTTGTCTACAAACATTTGGAGTAATCCCCATTTCCTGTAACATTTCAGAGAGAATTACTTATTTTTTCCTCAACTCAGGAAGGGTGCTTTCATGATTAGGGATAGGCTTAAAGAACATGCTTAAAGGCTTTCTGAATTGGGGCCTTTTTATTCGTCTTTGGGAGAAATGCATGATGTATGGTACCTTTGCTCTTGTGGCTCAACTCTCTACCCTAAAATATATTGGTTGGTTCTATCCCAAGTAGGAAGCCATCTACTAAAGGGTTCTTAAAAAAATATTTATTTAATATAATTTCCCTCATAAATATGAAACAATTGCTAGATTAGCATTCTAAATTAACCTTCTGAATTAACATGCTTAACCAGCCCACCAAGTATTCCAGAATTGGGCGTCTGTTTTGGATGCTTTAAATCAGGGGTGGCTAACCTGTGTCATGGATGACACAAGTAGTAAGGGCAGCCTCTCTGTGTGGCACATGACAGATCAGAGAGGAGACAGGCAGTGCAGTGGCAGAGAGGACAGAAAGCAAAGCAACAAATCTGGTAGGGAGCAGAAAGCAGAGCAGCAGACTGGGCATGAGAAGGGGATCAGAGTGGCACTTGGAGAGGGTGCCGGGCTAATTTGTGGCATGCCTGCCAGAAAGGTTGGCCCCCACTTTTTAAAATAGTACCAGACTTCACCTGGTTATATAATACATTTTCAATACACATAATGCAGAAGGAAGGGCAGGGTAGCTTCTTAGGGACTTTGCAAGTCCATTCATAGCATCTGATGAGGAAGGTCATGTCTTTCTGAACCAACTGGTTTTGAAGGTATCACCCTGCTCTACCTTTTGCCTGATTTCAGACCAACATAGCTAACTACCTCTCAATGCATGTAATGAGATAGTTAATGTTTAGCCAAAATGCATGCATATGGTTTGTTTGTTTTTATTAAAATTAATGTGTTGAGCCTCCTAAAATGTGAACAGGACCAGAGACGATGTAAAATTAGAGCAGCACATGTTCCATTTAAGCAATCCTTTGTAAGCACAACATTTATTGGATGTTACTAGTCAGATGTGCCCAGTTTATCAACCACTAACTTCTCCAATGTAAGAAACTGATTCCTGGTATAAAAGGAAAGATTTAATTGCCACAAGTGAAATCATGCCCTTATCCTCTTCAGGACTATGGAGATCCATGATTAGGGTAGACCATGGTGCACTGCCACTGTGAGGAGGAGCTTTAGAAAAGCAGTATTTTATTCAAGACAGCCACACAGTCATCACACCATAAAGCTGTTCAACTGCCCATGAATTCCCTCTACCAGCCATTTCTCCCCTGACATCCCATAGAAGTCTTCAGTACACAGTACAGTTCTGTAGGCAGTTTGCTTAGGCGAGGTGCCTCAAAGCTATGTTTTCATCCACTCTGTCAGGGAATGGGTTGCTGCATTTTTCTTTGCAGTATTTACAATGTAGTTATAAGTTATCAAAATTATTTTACAGAGTTTCTTATTCATTTGGTTGCAGTTAATTAAAAATGCATTAAAAAGCTTTTAGTCTTAAAAAGCTTTTAGTTATAAAGTATATTTTATTAACAACGGGAAGTGTTTGTATATACAAGACTCTTTACCTCTTCCTTGTAAAAAATAAGTTCAGGAAGATTTAGCCAAAATAAAATTTTCTTTATTCATGAAGAATGGAAAAGCAGTTCAATAGAAATTGATATGAAAACTATAGGAAGACTATTCAGGCAACGAACAGTGCCAAATAGTATAAATGAACTAGATAGGAACCTTAATCCTGGTAAGCCAAGGAAAGGCAAATAAGTTGTGAACATGACAGTAAAATGCAATGCTGTTTTCAGAGTATGCTCATTTTAAGCTTGCTATTCTAAGGCAGGGATATTTAAAATTTTCAGTTAAATAAGTATAATACTATATCCAGTGCAGTACCTCAAACAACCTCTAGACTGGAATAATCATATCTGCATATTCAGGAGCCAAAACAGATGCTTTTTATTTACTAGACAACATATGGCTTTTATTAAAGGAATGTAAAATTCAAATCATTTTAGTTCTGTATATGTAAGTAGTTCATTATTAATAACATCTGCAATATAACCAATAGTAAGTTTTTAATGTATCAGAACAAACACTGGCCTTATTTTTGTATAAGAAAGGAAAATTTGATAATAATTTCATGTTTGGCAGCTGTTTGTCTTAAGCACACATTTTATCAACTCATATCTTTATTGGTTATGTTCCAGAAACACCACTGGATTGTGAGGTTTCTCTGTGGTCTTCCTGGGGTCTTTGCAGAGGTCGTTGTGGAAAGCCAGGGACGAAAATCAGAACTCGTTTCATACTTCTTCAACCAGCCAATAATGGAAGTCCCTGTCCAAACTTGGATGAAGCAGCAGAATGTGAACCAGAAAATTGTGTCTGAAATCTCCTTTCCAATGGAATTAAAAAAACCCAAACAGATAATACTTTAGATAATTTAAATGTAGGATAGATTTAGCTGAATGTATACTACATCTCAGTGAATATTCCTCATAATTCAGGTATGTTCTACTATTTTACTGAAAAGTTTTCTTAGACTGGATGATGTATTCTTTTGTTTGAAATTAAGACTTTTTTTAGATTCCTACATTTTAGTATGTCAACTGTACTCTATCATTTACAGACCAAAAAAAGAAAAAAAAATCCTTCCTATAAATACTGTGTAAGTTCTTGCAGTACCCTCTAGTGGCGGAAAGGAAGATTTTTGAACATATTATATGAAGTTCACTTATGTCAAAAAAATCTTTTGAAAAGAAAATGTAAAATAACACAATCTCTCTTTTAAATATTAGGATTTTTAATTGTTTATTTATACCTATAATGCTAATTATGTTGCTTTAAATTATGTTTTATTATAATTTATTGGCATTTATGTTGACTTCTTTGTAATCATGTTTATTTTAGCACACTCCTTCAGAAAACTCTTGTATAAATCAGAGTAACCAGATGATGTAGTATGGTTTGGGTAATTGTGTCATCTTATACATGGAGAGCAGGAAGTTTTGTTTTTTGGGGTGTTTTTGTTTGTTTTGTTGTTTTTGATGCCTAAAAAACCATTCAGCCATAAAAGCTTAATTGTGAATACTGATGGAGAACCTGTTACAAACGTTGGGGAGGGGAAACGAACATTATAGATGTGTTTTTTAAATAAAGCAAAATTGTAGTATGCCTGACATTGCAAAACATAATATTCCAGGAACTGTTCTAGATAGCAAGTTTAATTATTCAGATACCTAAATGGTTGTAAAAAAAAAAAAGACAGAACTGGTCTTTGTTTTATAGTGTTTGTTTATAAAATTGGAAAAGCATTTTGAACTATAAAAGTTCAGAAGATAACTTTTCTGTGAGTTGTGTGTTTTCACATCCACTATACAGCACACTACAGGTGCAGGTAACAAAGAAATAGTCTTGGGTAGGGTGCATTTCTTCTGAAACATGACAGCTATAAAAACCATTGTTGTGCACCAAGGGGGGGCTCATGGCTTTCTTTTTATCGGTAGAAACTTTTAAGTTTTATACTTTTATAAGACTCGGAAGGATCCTGGTAAGTCCTGAAAATAGGATAAATATATAAAACAAATTCTAACCATTTTTCTAGCCGTCTCATATTCTTCAGATTCTAACATGCCTCCTTACTATTCTCTTCCCATTTCACTTATTGTCACATCTATTTTTCCAAGCTCTTTGTGTCTATATTTTTATTATTTCACCTTCTCTTACACACACTTATTTTAGAAAAAATAATCTTGTGTATTAGCTTTTTCCATGCTCTGTGCTTAGTTCATCTGCCCTCCTTTCCCATTCTTTTCATTATCTATTTATAGTAGCTTTTCCTTATTTTCTGTTTTCTTTTCTTTTTGATCCAGTTATGTAGGTATTTACACAATATCACCTCCATTATTATGGCATCAAAAAATCTTGAACATTTATTGAAACAACTACATGAAGTATACTTTTTGCTTCTCTGTATCCTGAGTCTTTCCATCTTCTACTCCCTTAATTTTTATTTCCTGTTACCCCATCTCACTGAGCCATCCTGCTCCAAGAAATTGCTGTATTACTGCAAGGGCAGATGTTGCTTCCCGTATCACCCCCTAATGCTGGCCAGGACTGGATCTAGAATTTTGACTCCTCCACAGGTCAAAGGCTAGACCCAATAAAAGAGTTAGGTACCTAGATGGAACTGAGATGCAAGTCCAAACTATGATCTGATCTGGCTAATCCTGTTTGATTGTAACTCCACTTAACTCTAGTGTTCTGTTTCTGTGCATGACCAGAACTACCCTCAGACAATATCCAGAGAAAAGGACTTTGGTACCTAAAAGATAGACGATGTAATGGCTAGATTTTTAGGGGTCAGGTCTTTGGAGAGATATCAGAACCCTGCATTAAGCATCTAATATCCCTATACAATGTATGGGTTCCTTAAAACGGTATCCAGACATCTTACATCCTAAGGGGGAAGCCACTCAGAGCTAACCAACAGGCGATGTTTCAGACAGGGAGGTGTCTGAAATCTGTCCCTTTCTGGAGTTAGGCACCTAATACAGAGCTTCAGTGTGGGGCTGCTGTTCATTCTGGAATGCATCAAGCCTAGGCAAACCTGAGGCTGGATAGATTTAAAGACCTGGACTAGATCATTTAAAACTAGATCATTTAACACAACTTTTTTGGCCACTCTGATCTTCTTCCCCGGCCCAATCAGCTGTTCTGCTTTCTGCTTCTTGCCCTATGCATATGACATGCCACACACAGAGGTTGCCTGTGCCACTTATAGCACGCATGCTGCTGGTTGGTCTCCCCTGTTTTAAAACATTGGAGATAGCGGCGCCACTCATCCAGGAAATAGGAGATCAGGATTAAATTCTGTCCTCAGTATAAGGAGGGTTAAAACATATATCTCCCACCAATCTGGAAAGGGTGTTAAGCACCAGGCTATAGACATTTTTTCACTTAGGTACTCTCCACAACGCTGTTGAAGCTGTATCACTGCATATAAAAGCATGCAAGATTCAATAGGCCAGAGAGAAGAAGTCAAGACGGAGTATGACTACATTGTTGCTGGGTGTTAAGGAATTTTACCTGAGTGGAAGGAAGGCCTCGGTTCTGTTCCCAAGACTTGGTTTATGTTTTTCACATTATATAGCCCGTTGTTGTCTACTGGTTGAAATGCTTCATTGGGTGGTGCAGGATGTTGGTTTAAACACCCCAGGCTGAGAGAAAAATTGAATCTACGTCTCTTGTTCCTTGAACAGGAGGCAGGATTTTAGAAACACCATTTTCTGATCATTTCCTATTGGCTAGTGTCTGAGTAGAAAAGGTGACCAAACGCTCAGCCCACATGCCAGACCAATGCAGAACACGAGAGCAGGTCATGTTCAGCGTGTGAAGAGCTCATGATCATGAGGCCGACCAGCTCGTGATCAGACAGCCTTAACAAATCAGGAGCTGCGGGAGAAGCGTGCCTGCCTGGCCAGCAGACACACTCTCTTAACTGTAAATCAGCAGCCTCCTCTGATTGGCTGAAGAGTTTATAAAAGGGACAGCGCGCTAAAGCGCAGAGTCCCGGGTTCCACACAGGCCCTTGGATAGGACTGATCACCCTGTCCAGGAATCCGTGTCCCCATGGCCGAATAGTACGAATAGTCATACGAACAGTCATACAAATAGTCACACTCTGGCTATTATTTCACCGAATAGTGAGCTCTCCATCCGCACGTACATTGGAAAAAGCAACTGCTATCTCCTACCTGTCATCTTTAACTACTGCTTCACCACTGTCGTTTTGTTGTGTAACCACTGTTGGAATCTTACTGTAAGTAAACGTTAAGTTCAATTTTACTATCTTCCAACTGAGTCAGTGTCCCTTTCATCCCCGGCCTGTCCGCAAGGCGGGTTGGTCATCCACCCGCCCCCCGGTTCAACTGGTAAACCGCCTGGTGAGTGTTGCGGTTACTAACAGCTAGCTCTAGGTTACTGCCTGCTCAGCATGCTGACTCTTCAATACCTTGGATCATAGGTATCAAAAAGACTGACAAAATTTCTGGAATGAAGACTTATGGTGGAAAACTTTGGTTCTCTGGCACAACTAGGCTTCATACAAGAAAGATAAAGCTTGTGTGCACAGAAAACAGAAGTTTCTTTATGGCTGGCCCAAGTCTGTGGAATGAACTTGTGTCAGAACTAAAGACTATCAGACCTCACCACTTCCCATTCTAAACACAAAGTGAATTCCTTTGACCTTGACTTCTTATATAAACCTATAACAGTGAGTGTATATATACACATTTTAAAACCCAAAACTGAACACTCTGCTATGTGCATGTCTCCTTCTAGGGAAAGGAGGAGAAAAGATACATGAAATAGATGTTTGACGTGTTGCTTATTGCATTACAGGCAAGCAAGCACATACAGGCTACAGTTATGAGCACAGGATAAGAATCTATAGAAATGAATTGACAAGACAATTGGCCCTCAAAACAAAGAACTTTCCTTTATGCCAGACATGAAGATGCTGAACAAACAGAAGATGCCTGGAATACTTAGGAATAGAAAAAGTCCAACATTTTTTCCCAGCCTACCTAGAGAAGCCTTGCTGTCAGTTCATTTGTGAATAATAAGAGTCTACTCCAGAATTTAATGGGAATCTTTCAGCTGATTTCATTGGGCGGTGGATGGGGCTCTGTGATATTTTCTTCATTCACTCATGTGGTAGCATGCCAATACTCTTAATTTCTCTGGAAAAAATTAAATTCCTTGGAATTATTCTATATAGCAGATGGAAAGTCTTACTTTCCTGGAAAATAGGCATTTTTAGTCCCTTGAAGTAATGTTGATATCACACAAATACTGTGCAAAGATACCTGGGTTTGGAAGAAGCTACTTCAGTTGCCGGAAGCTCTGCTACCGTGTTGCTGTCCCTGAGAAAACTAGCTGAGCTGAATAGCAGTGTACAGTAATCTAAAGGACCTAAATTGGTTCTCTCTGTATATAGCTTAATTGTAATTTTATATACCAGTAACACTGACTGGTGTGAATATTGCACACTACATTCTGGTCATGGTAGCATTCTTATTGGTGACTGAAACATCTTTACTAAATTGATTTTTAAAACCTCACACATTGGGATTGCTCGGCTTCCCAGAGGGTTACCAAAATCACACAAGTAACTTTCAAAAGTCACAAGGACATAGCAAAGCATACAAACTCAGAAAACACGTACTCCACAGTTGTTGGTCCTATTGTTGATCTGTAACGCAAACAGATTTTTTTCCTTCTAAATTCTAAAATTCTTGGTCCCTTTATTTATGTAGCAACATAAGCTCTGTTTATGTTACCTGGGTTTACCAGAGTGTGTACTCCCCTCTCCAATAGAAGGGGAGGGTCAGCAGGGCATACATGCTGGAGATGGAAACTGCAGCTTGCTCATAGCTTCCCCTTACCGGTGTCTCTGTAGAGGAAGACCAGGTCACAATATCTTAACTATGTACATGGCTTATTCAGGTGCAGAATAAAAGGGGAGGGAATAGAATAAACTGAATAGGTGATAAAGATAAATATTTACATATAATATATTCAAGTCAGCAAATAACGAAACAGCAGTCCCCAAGACTCATGAAAGATACCTCACCCATGGATCCCCAGAGGGAAAGTATGTCCCAACAATTGATGGGTAAGCACCCCAAAATATAAAGCACAATAAACAGTTAATAAATGCTCCAAAATATAAGATGCAGCAAGCAATTAATAAACACTCCAAAATCCCAAATACCTCCCCCCCACCCCCTTCTAGAGGAGTCTCTCTCTCTCTAGCATAAACCCCCTCTGATGGGGCTATCCACTGTGTCCCTGTGTCCCTCCCTGGTGGGAAACCACTTGCCCAAGAACTCACGCTTCCCAGCGAGTAGGGTCCAGCAAGCGTTCCCGGTGTTTTGTCCACAGCTAAGCAAATGGCTCCTGTGCGGGCCGGGAGCGGTCCGAGGCTTTCAGGGGCACGCGGCGGGCTGTGGCCAGCAGCCCTGACACGTGGGTCGGGGAAAGCAGGCACGACGAACTAGAATTAGGCATGGACGCGTAGCAGTTGATTAAAGATTATTTTACTTACACCGTAGATGGTTGCGGTGCAGGTAGGAGAAAACTTCGCTTAAGTTGCAGTTACAAAACTCGTACGAACAAGACCCGTAGAAAACTCAAGCCTCTTGAAATAACTCAGGCAGAGCTCTGGATACACACACACAAAGCTTGTTAGGCTCCGTGGACTGAGCGCGCAGGGAAGGGGTTCGTCAAGGGATAGCGTTTCGGCGACGGGGAGAGGCTAGAGGTTGATCAGGCCCCTATATCCTTCTTAAGGCACACGCTGGGTTCGTTAGGCTCCGCAGCGCTTAGAGTTCTTCACGAGATGGATGTGAAGTCCTCCTCCTCCAACTTGGGCGGAAACCGCTCAAACCTCTTATACAGCTAGCAAGCCAATCGCTAGCCGCCACGTGGGAATAATTTAGAAACAGCCAATAGTGGGACACAAATTTGCATGCGAGTGGTGGGAACTCCTTTGCACCGGGGTTTTCTCCATGCAACTGAGAATTGCACCATGCAAAGAAAGCTCCTCGTGGCGGGAAATAATTCTGCAGTGCCGAAGTGCACACAAAATCATACCCTTGGGTTATGACAGCTCCTACAGTGGGTGCTCTGTCTCAGTCCCCACATTGGGTGCATGGCTCGTTCACACATCTGGATAGCTTGGCCTTCTCAGCAGGTTACAGACCTGGGCTGCCTCATGCATGCCCAGGGCTGGGGCTCCAGTACAGGCCTACTGCACTGTGGAGCCTGTGCAGCCCACAGGCCCTCGCACCTGGCAGCAGGGAATGTGGCCTGAATTGCCCCTGCCCTTTCCAAAGGCCCTTGGCCTGACAGTGGCTCACCATGCAGCAGCGTCTGCACCAGTGCTGGCCTCATGCTGGGGTTGGAAACCCAAGCCACCTCGAGCAGCTCCCAAGGTCCGGGTCCCTCTCAGACCCTTTGTTTAGTGATGCCTGCACCATTCAGCCTTGTGCCTGCGTTGGAGACCCGAACCACCTCGAGTGGCTCCCAAGGTCCCAGTCCCTAGCAGACCCTCTGTGCAGTGATGCCTGACAGCTCACTGTGCTGTCTCATGATGATGGTTTGGGGACGCAGCTGCCTGCCACTTCTGTCCAACAGTGGAGTCTTTTGGCTCTTCAGGGTAACTGGAAGCACCTCCTGGGTAGCTCTTTCCCAGCTCTTCCTCAGCCCCGGCTTTTTCTTTCTTCTCCATCCTCCTCATTTCCTCTGCATGCTGTGCACTCAGCTCCTTATATACCCTTTTGGGGCTCTGCCCCAAGATTGAAGACTGGCCAATCAGGGGGAGGTGAAGCACAGTCTTCAATTAGGTCCACTCCTTGCCTTGCCCCAATGTAGTGGCAGGGCAGACTCCTCCCAATGCTCCTCCCCTGCTGGTCTCTGATTGGTGGGTTTGCCCCACCAATTGCTTTGGCAATCTCTAAGCCCAAGGAACCGGGCAAAGATAGGCAAGCCCACCACATTTATATTAACTGATGGTATATTTATGAGGCAACCAGAATATAATCATGACAGCATAGACCAAAATATAACTATATGAAAATATATAGTTCCTTGGGTTGTATGATAGTTACTTTTTTAGAGGATAAAATATACATTATCAGAAACAGTTAAAATATTATTAGGAAAAATGTCTTCTATATATCTTTCTATTAATGTTTAAATATTTTAGTATTTCAGGTTATTTTATTTTTTTGTTTCCCCTTTGTACTGTATTGTATTGCAGTTTCCCCTTTGTATTCCCTTTAGTCCTTTTAAATTAGTGTTTTTCTCAACAGTTCTAGACTCAAAGTACCACTTGTTAGACTCAAGGCACCCTGGAGAAAATGCCACCTCTTAGTTTCCATTCATTTTTTTACTATGGAAAAATAATGCAGCAATTCTACTATTGCAAAGAACTCAGAAGAACCACAACAGGTCAGAACGTTGTTGATACAATGGATTTGTATTTGTAATCTCTGGGTTTATCTTGTGAATCGTGTGTAGGTGCCTGCACATCTGCCGGTGCTAATACTGCACAGAACCAACCCTTCAAAAGATTTTGCAGCATCAAGGGTGCTGTGGTGCCCCAGTTGACAATCACTGCACGTGTCTATATGTTCATTAATGTGCTTTTGCTACTGAGCATTAAATTTAGTACCTCTAATGTGAGGTACTAACCAAATACGCGTTATGCTACTCTAATGCTCAGTAGTGAAAGCGCTTGCTTTTTAAGTGATGCTTAATGCTCAGTAGCCTAATTTTACTGTTCATTAGTGCATTAGCACAGTTTTTGCTGTGACACACTAATGCACAGTAAAATAGGCTACTGCACATTGAAGCACACGTGTAGCTTCAAACCCACTGTTCTCAATAGTTGATATTGTTTATGTATATTTAACTCTCAAAGCATTTCATATACCTAGTACTTCTGAGCTGGCTTAAGAATAACAAGATATAAACTGGCCATGAGTAAATATAGGCTAGAAAGTAGCTTTCTATTTAATCAGAGAAGACTCTGAAACAGTCTTTCAGTGAGAATAGTAAGGGCAAAAAGAGTTAACTAAGGGTTAAGCTGGAACTTGACAAGTTTATGAAAGGATTATATGATGTAGTCACCTGTAATAAGGAGATCCCAAGAGATCTCTTCCAATCTTTTATTCTTGTATTCCTGCAAAATAATATGTTTGATGCTTTCATGCTAGGAAAGACTTTACAAATAATCTCTCTCTTGTTATCACATTCTGTAGAACATGCTGCAGTTATTTATATATGTGTAACTACCAGCTGTCTTTTCTCACATTCTTCCTGCCCTCCCCTCTCCCCCCCACAAAAAAAAACAAACCACCACACTGATTAGACACCAAACAAGGAAGGGGCTATAATCACTTGCAACTAATTCTTTCCAAAAGAAGAACAATTAGAGTATATCAAAATCATGAAGAACCAACTGATAGGATTTCTTTTTTGCTTCTGGATTGCTCTTTCACAGCCTTTTTATTTTCACTCTGGGGAAAGAGAGGAGAAATGTATAATAGAAGACATTCCAAGTGAAACCTTGGTAATTGGTGGGTAGATGTTGCTATCTAATTATCAGTTTGCTTAAAACTTAAAATATTTACCTATGATTTTCTAATACGTATACCTGCTATGAAACACTGTGAATTAGAAGATGGAAAGGAGGGCACCAAAAAGTGTATCCCTTTTTATTCTGCAACATTATGCATTGAACTGGAAAGATTGTAATTGGGTGTATGAAATGTCATAATTAATTTTGTTTTGCATGTACATAGTAACTTGGTTTGAAATAAAAAACATAAAGCTACATAGTAGACTAATATTTGTACTTAACAGATTTGTATCTATTGTCTACCACACAGGGAGTTACATGGTACAAAAATGGGATATGCACGAACAAACATTTCTTGAATCTGCTCCTGGCTTGGGAATGTATGTGACCATCACAACTCCTACTGAGGAGGTAAAAGTGTTACTTATGAAAGGTTTTACAGATTTTTGTACTGACCCTTGGTGCTTCAAACTTTTACTATCAAAAAGAAACAGACAATATTAAAAAACAGTCTAAAATTAAGGCTTCCAAACCCTTAAGCAGTTTGAATAGTTTGGTGTTCAAAAGGGCTAGGTATATATTGGTTGTCAGTAAAAATGATAGCAGCAACAGGTTATACAAGAGTTTGCAATCAAATATTTTATTTATGTACTTAACTATAGATATAGAAGCCTGATTTTTAAATCTTGGATTAATCTGTTTACATTACTGTTGGATTTGGAAAAAACTTGTCTTCATACAATATTCAAAACCTGTTGAGAAAACATTTTAGAATAAAAGATTGCACATTGACTACTGAAGCCACATAGCAAAGTAAGGAGCTGTATTTGGAAAAATAATGATTATCCAAAATTAGTCCCTCCCTCCAAAAGCAAGTTAAGTAAGATGCAGCCAGCAGCAATTCACAGCAATTACCTGCATTGCCACTGAGTGCTCTGTGTTTTTGAAAGTGAAGCCATTTATTGATATGCCTAAATAAGGCCTTAGAAACCAAACTTTTAACGTGTTTTTGAAAATTACAGCCTTAATGCACTGTACTGTACATGGGTTTTCTACCTTCGGCTTAGATCTAAGTTATTCTGCTTTTCCTTCTCTGAATCACATCTGAAATTCAGGTTAACCTAATGTCTTCAGAAGCTTAAATAAAATAAAATTCTTTATACTGCTGTCCATAAGACAAAAATGAATACCAAATTTGCTTAATACTTACATTATAGGTATTGCTGTCAAAACTGTATGGACCACAGGGAAGATTCTCCTTTACATCCCATATATCTGGAGAGCATAGTATTTGTTTGCAGTCTAATTCCACAAGGCTTATTTCCTTTGGTGGAAGTAAACTGGTAAGCAAACAGCTTAAATATTTTATTTCATGATAACGTTTATATCATCTAAACTGCCAGGCTTGAAATAACTGTGGGACAACTGTGCATATAGTGCAGAACTGTTGGAGCACAATTAATTGCAAGAGTGAAGGGATTATGGAAATATGTCACTGAATTCATATGTTCAGTATTAACCTCAGATCTGGCAAGCAGTTCCACACAGGTAAACCTTTTAATCTTCTGAATTCAAGGTCTCCTCCCACAACCCCACACAGAACATCCTGCATTATTTTTACTGTGCTCACTCAGTGCTTATACCTAAAATAATCTGGTTTTAATGGCATACCTTGGAGGTGGCAGATGACTCTTTATCCAATACATGCTGTTTCTTAGGGTATGAACAAGATAAAGTGAGAATTAACATGATGAAAGACTTTCTTTTCATTTTCAAGGAGTCATGCCACAGCTAATTTAAAACTGGTACTAATACTAGTACAGCACTTTGAATATTTAATACTTCAAGGCCCTGATCAATAGGATGAACAACCCATTTGATAAAAATAGTCATATGGAGAAGGATTAGTTAACACAAATGCTGTTGCAAAACATTACTTATCTATTAGTAGGGGTCTACTTAATTTGCAGTGTGACAAAGCAATTTTTGTGGCTTGGTCATGGCACAAAGAACTGATTTCTGAGACATTTCCTAGCAGCCTCACCCCTCACTACTAATTGTCAGAGAGGCATATACTGTATAATAATTGAAAATTCCATGGAAAGTAAATTATATCATATAATTTATCATATTATTATAAATCTATAAATTACATTTCAATATAAATGTAAATAGATTCTAAACATAATCTATTATGGGAGGCAGAGGGGTGCATCTCTGAGAACATGGGATGGCAGAGAGCCCTCCTCATCTCTGCTGCCAGTGGCTGCAGCAACATGCACACACACTCCCATTGCCGCTTGTGTGGTGGTACACTGTCGTTACTGCCCCGGTGCCCCAGTTGTGCTGCTTCGGGGCCAAAGGCAAGTTCGGGGACGTGGTGAGTGTGTGTGTACACTTGCACATGCAATAGGGTGGGAGGGGTGTTGATGCTATACAGCCAGCAAGCAGGGCAGGCACACAGATGACTTGTCAGTTCTTAGCCATGCTCCTGTTCACCAGCCCTCTTGCTGCAGGTGAGACCTGTGCATGTTACAGAGGATTTTAAGCCCAAGCATGCAACTTCTGGCAACATGTGCTAACTTTAAGAATGACTTTACATTCCTTAAAGTTAGCACTTGCTAACTGGAAGGTGTAAGAACATGTGAATACTTAATTTAAAGATGTATCACTTGAATTTTAAATGCTAGATCTGATTCTCTTTTTAGTAAGCACACATATATAAGTAAAAATATGATTTTAGAGGGAAGTTTACATTATTTTCCCTCAATTTGTTTGTTAAGAACTTTTTAAAATGTGAAGATTATAAATCAATGGAATAATAGTGTTTTTAATTGTGTTCATAGCGTATCCATTTGGACATTAGAGTTGGAGAGCATCTTATTGATGAAGTCATTGCTCAAGCCAAGGACAAAGTTAATGAAGCTAACTTTAGAGTTGAACATCTAATTGAGCAAATTCATCACATATCCAAAGAACAAAACTATCAGAGGGTATGTATATTCCCTAACAGAAATAAGACAGAAAAATGCAGATAAGAATCTGGATTTATGTTATATGACATACTATTGGTATTTTTTACAAATGTATTGTTTAATGTAAAAACCAAATTACATTAAAACACTATTAATTCTTAGCCAAATTGGTCCTATTATTTACAGCATGAATTAAAATTTAAGATATGTATTAATAACTGCTGGTCAAACACTCTGGAGCTGTAAAGTGAAATACAGTATGAAAGCTCTGAATTAATAATTAATTCGACATGGCAGAGGTGAATTTGTTTTGGAAAGAAAGAGCAAAATCCTTCCATCTGCTTCTACTTTTTACCTCAAAGAGCCCAACAGATCCTTGCATTATTTTCAGAAAAATTAAACAAACAAGATTAAACATTTAGAATATAGGATTAAACATATGAAATAAGATTGAACATCCCAGAGCATAGGATGGTGGTGTATCATCCTAAGCAGAGATCAAGGAACGGATGGTTTGCCTCACAGTCATTTCTTCCCTCCTCATCTCCTTCTCTCTGGTGACTATGGGCGGATCTAGGATTTTGAAAAATGGGGTTTGACGCCTGTATTTTTCTGCAGTTAATGAGAAACCAGAAGATTTCCTAATATGCAGTGGCCCAGAACTATATTATTCAGTTTAAGATCAAAGCAAAACTAAATATAACACTATTAGAATGCGCACTAATTCACTAGATTATAAATTAGGTTTAACAAAGCACTACGAACTAGGCAGAAATAATAAAAAAGTATGTTTTATTAATCCTGTAGTCATTAAGTGTACACCTCTTATTCTGATTCATAATACAAAATCTAGTGCATCCAGTACATACAGCACTTCACTTTTATTCACTTCTACACCTGAGTTAATGTACACCTGAGCTAAAATTACCACACCTGAGTTTAGGTTTTTAACTAGAACTAAAAACAGTCTGCAGAGCTTTGAAACAGGAAAGAGAGATTACCAGGAATGGCTAACAGACAGCAAAATTGTAGAAGAAAGAATAGCTTGATTAATGGAACATCCAGACCATTAAAGAGGAGAAAGGATTGTTAACATCTGTGAAGAGAGATTACCAGGAATTAGGTAGATTATAAAGAGTCATGAAGTCAGTTGACCTGCTTTACCACTGCCTGAGTAGAAATGCCACTCAGCCTCCTAGGAAGTCGGCTTTAAAGTTTGGGTGGATCAGGAATCAAAGAGTGGGGGGCAGGCATAATTGTGCCACTGCAGCCCTCTGGATCCTGTGGTGGCAGTTGATTTCCCCACTCAGTCTACTCAATGCTTATGCCCACTCTGTGTCTTCTGCACCCCTTTGCTCACAAAGGGGGGGGTACCAAGGAAGGGCAGCTGTTTTCCATTGCTTATGTCTGAGTTGTGATGGGAGCCACTTACCTATGTGATGTAAAAATACTTTAAAAATCTAGCTATAAATATATAATACAAGTTGCAATGTTTATAAAACTAATTTGAGAATCCAGTGGCTGCCAGGCTGCAGTCAGCTCTCAGTAGTAGCAGCTGTTATTTTTGCACTCATTCCCCCATGTCAGAACCTGGGCTGCTGCCCTGGTTACCCCCACTCCTCTCCATTACTCTACTGCATAAGTCCCAATGCTGAAAACACAGGTTTGAGTAATTTCACATACATGAACTTTTGTAGAATCAGAGTGTATATGCATCTATCAAAAGAACACGTCCCTCAGAGAGAGATTGCAATGTAGGAATGAATTCTATATTTATTGAAGTCTTTGTGCCTACAACACGTATAACTTGTTAAATTGAATAGGACTGGACTTTTATAGTTTGTTCTGATTTGTCCTCCTAGAAAAATGCTTTAAGCTATAGCAGAAAGTAAGTAAGGAAACCCAATAAAATATTTAGAACTTGATCCTGATGACATTCATGCAGATTATGGGCTCTGCAATAATGAGAGTGCTGGGCGTATGTAAGATACTCCAATCTGGTACCTGCAAAAGGTCCAGGTTATACAAAGCTGCTGGGTGTGAAATTCCAGGAGAGAAAAGGGGTAGAGGCTTGGGTATTTAAGGGTATAGTCAAACAAACACATTAGCATGGATAAAAAGGGATAGGGACTTAACATACAGTACTGCCAGCTGTTATAACTGTTTGTGCTCCTGTTCTTATTCCGCAATAAGTAAAAACTGCACTGTAAACTGAAGAAGAGCAGTGTTGTGCCCCAAAGCTTGTCTAATATCTCTTCCATCTATTCAGTGGTCCAATAAAAAATATTAACAAAATGTTATCATGGCTACATCACTCCAACTCTACTCCAACTAAACTGTGGTAACTACCAATTTCACTGGTTAAAAAAAAAGAAGGTAAATGAATGAAACATTGTATAAGACTTTCTTATTTTCTCTAGCCTATGGGGAGAGAATACATAGGTATAAGTATGAAGTACTTATATTATTTTAAAAGATAATATGCCTTTTCTCTGTTCTCAACAGCAACGTGAAGAATACTTTCGACTGACAAGTGAACAAACCAACAGCAATATTCTGTGGTGGGCTTTTGTACAAACATTAATCCTTATCTTGGTTGGCATTTGGCAAATCAAATGTCTTAAAGATTTCTTTATAGCTAAAAAGCTTGTTTAAAATAAATTAAAGAAACAGTCCCACATCTATATTATACAATGCACAGGGGAAAATAGCTAAATTAATTAAACACTAAATAAAAAAAACATGCAGATATCTGATATTTTTATACCTTCATTTTTACCATATTTCACGGTGTGTAAGTCAGGTTTTGAAGGTCAATTTTTGTGTATGAAAAATCAAACTCAACTTATACACCATTCTGACACTGTTTGCAGTGGATGCGGCCACGCCAGCCAAGCGCTGAGTCTGGCCCCATCCCCTGTGAACATTGATGAGCACAGTGTTGCTCACAGGGGACAGGGAAGGGGACGGGGACAGAAATGGGCTCAGTACTCAACTGGAGTAGCCCTATCCCCTGCAAGCAGTGCTGCCAGTCCAGCACCAAGCCTGTCCCTGTCCCCACCCCCTGTGAACAGCACTGAGCTCGGCACCACTCACAGGGGATGGGGAAGCGGGCAGGGATGGGAATGGGGATAGGGCTGGGCTCGGCTGGGCTGGGCTCAGCTGGTGTAGCCCCATCCTTTGAGTGGCGCTGGCAGCACTACTCACAGAGGATGGTGCTGCAACAGCTGAGCCTGGCCTCAAGTTGTACACCACGCCTATGAAAATCCTTACCTTTCCAATTGGAAAGCCGGGGGCCAACCTATGCACCATGTCACCTGATACACCGTGAAATATGGTACATAAAAAGCTGATATTAAAGAATTTTCTGATTGGCAAAATCACATTCTCTGATAAGAAAAACTGTAAAATAAAACTTAGTAAGTGGATAAACTGTCCGTGGTCAGGGGAAGAATTAACAATATACAGGCAGTCCTCGACTTACATCGTTCTGACTTGTGGTGATCCGCACTTGCAGTGCACTGCCATTTACGCCCACATTATTACTTATGGCTCTGGATCCTCACACTTACGGCTGTAAGTACAAGGATCTAGCACCGTATGTCAGTCTGCTTCCTCATGTGCTCCAGCATGCTTCTGCTTCCATAAGTTTCTGGTATTCTTCTAAGTTTCTTGTATTCTTTGATCTATTATGATGTGCTTAGTGCTTGGTGATTAGTGCTTAGTGCTTAGTTATATTCAGTCTGCTTCCTGATGTGCTTAGTTATATACAGTATTCAGTATTTCAGTATATTCAGTATTCAGTCCACACTGGTGAAGGTGTTCCTTCACCTTCTTATTAAATAAAATTAAATAGTTGATTTAAATATGGTGTTTATGGTCATTTCTGTAAAAAGTTGGGAATCAGGCCCTTGGTCAGGAACATAACCCTCTATTATAACATTGTTTCTATGGGAAAATCAGATTTGACTGGCATCGATTTGATTTACAGTGCCTTTTCCAAGAACGTAACCCGCTGTAAGTGCAAGGACTGCCTGTAATCTTCTTAAACTTCACTCATTCCCTCCTATTCCCTTCTCTTGCTCTGCTACCAAACTCACAAAAGAAGCTTGTGTCTACCTTCCCATTTATTTGGGCAAAATCACAATCTTGGTTCCCCCGTTACCCTCTAAGAACTTGGGTCACAAGGTGCATCTGTTTGATTTCAAAGGTCCATGTGCCCTTCTCATTCTCCTTCCGTGCATTCCCAGAACTGCTGCAACCTGAGCAGATTAGCAAGTAAACCCAACTAGATGGAAGGATCCAGAAACAGGCCCAAGTAACCTGATCTGGTGGTGTGCTCTGCCAAATGGATATATGCAGGATTAGGCACCTCACAAACATTTGGTCACTTTCTTTCAAAATAAAGCAGGCAGTAGTGTTAGCATTGGTGCCCACCTTTATATAAAAACCTGGTAAATTAGTGCATTTATCCACCATTCGGTAGATCTTGATTTAACTCCATCCTCAGGATGTTATAACTCCTATTTCTTGCTTCCCAGGAGAATGTTATAGACTTTTGAATGGGGTACCCACAATCAGTCCTGTGGAAGGTGTCCTCTATGCAACAAAGAATGAAGATTGCCAGAGAAAGGGATAGAGCATGCTTCTGCAGTTTAGCAGTTAGGGACCCCAGGGAAAGGGACCAGTAGAGAGCATGGCTCTGTACCTTAGCAATTAGGGAATCCATGTGAAAGGGGGAGTTCAGAGTTCTGGTTCCTGCTTCCAAGACTATTTATGTCTTTAATCAAATGATTGCTTAACATAAGGTATGGGTCCCTTGGGGTAGGCAGATAGGCACCAGAACCCATGATTATAGACCCCTATCTTTGCATAAGAAAAGACTGATCTTCAATTAATAATATGATTAGGTGTTCTGCCAAAAGGCTGTTGTTGGATGCTTTATAGATGCATATAATAATTATGATAAAAATCAATGACGGTTACAGAGTACTGCATAACAGTTATTACTGAGCTTTTGCAAGTAGCTCAAAACAATGAAAGAGTTCATCTTACCAAATGTAATTTAATAAAGGTTGTTACTAAAGGCCATGTTTTGATAAACGCACTTATGAAATTATATGACACTTCTATGAGGAAAAATATTACTCAGTTTCAGCAATCTGGCCCCTAAAAATTAGTCATTCATTTAATCATCTGTTCATCCCTTTTTCTGCCTTACAGACATGTTTTAGTGTTCCTCTAGTTTCTGTTTTCTTGGCGAATAATGCTGAATAGTTCTGTAAATTGTCACGTGTGAGAAATATTATCCAATGGAACTGAATGGATTTCCTGGCAATCTTTGGCTATATGTATGTAAGAATATTCATAGTTTCAACTTAGTATGTTTCTTTGTTGGACAGCTATTTTTCCTTTAATTAAGAAACCATGACTGTTATTTGTTAGCACTGAAAATACTGGCTTTATCAGGAGCTGTTTCTATGATCTAATCATGTAGTCCCCTCAAACTGGATTAGCAAATGAGTTGAGAGTGTTGCTTCTGTAATTTAATTTGACAAGCTTTATTTATAGGCTGTAGAAAACTTGATTTGAAGGCAATAGAGGAATACGATATATGCAGCCTCCTATCACAGCAAATGGATATTTCCTCACTTCCTACCTTATTTCCCCTTTCCTTCTGTGATAAGAATAGTTTGTATGACAGTATAAACCATATTTACAATGTAATGTTCTGTATTTCCAATGGATTTCATCACGGTGAACTTTAAAGCAAATTTTCAGCACGATTAAAATGTCAGAAGATAAGCCATATGAACTATAACTCAGTTCCAAAATAGGAAGGTTATAAAAACTGCCTGCTTTTCAAGAAAAATAAGAATGATTCATTGTTTTTAAAATGACAGCAAAAAAGAATAGAGATGATAAAACTAATCTTAAAACCAAATTGTTATGTATGAATTTTTATGAATTTTTTTTCCGGAATGAATGCATGTTTGAATGACCTTAAAAGGAGGAATTTTTCCTATTAGTTTATAAGAGTTTTATATTGAATTTCCTATAAACAAGTAGTATAGAGTAAGATTTTTAAGAGTCAAAGGACACTTCTTTGGTATGTTCCTAAATGCCACTAGGCAACTGTCTCCATCTTCAGTGCCTCAAGACCTATAAATGTCTGGCCCATAATGTCTTTTAAAATTGTGTGACCTATATAAGTGGCCTATATAGCTGTGTTTGTTTACATTTCTGGGGAAGACAAACTAAGTTTGTGAGATGGGAAATACTGAATTTTTAAACTGCTGCTTAAAGAGGACTTCCCTCAAGATGACCAAATTCAAACTTGATTGGACTCAATGTGGGCCTCCTGCATGATTTATCCAAACACTGAGAAGGGAGGTACTGAAAGGCAGAGTACGCATAATTCTTAAACTATAAGAATCATGCCAAGATGTTTCATACTAGGAGTCAACATGTCATCTGAAGGAAGACTGATTTTCCAACCTCTTTAAGGACATGTCTACACTGCAGTCCAGAGTAGCAATACTTGAACTAGCTTTAAAGTGGCTAGCGTGTGTATTGCTAGCAATGTAGCGCTGGTAACATGGAACTCAGTGAGGGTTGCAAAATGTTCATGAAAAGATGGATAAGGTGTCAAGTGGTTAGTTTCCTCCTGTGACTGCAGTGTAAAAATAACCTAACTGATTATCTTGAAGGTGGTCATAATTTCCACGAACAGGATATTGTAGATGTTGATTATTATATTGTACATTATACTGTACACATCCCTGGTTGCACGGAAAATTTACTTTTCTTTGCCATTTGGCTCCTTATTCCACCTCCAGAAGATAGTGAGAGCCAAAGTGTTTGTAGATCTTATATGTATTATTATACTTTCTGTCTGCCTGCCTTTTTTTTCTGTCTGTCTGTCTTCTGTCCGTCTTCAGAGAGAGATTTTGTTTCATTTACTTTTAGGGCGTTAAAGTGAAAGTATGGCCAGGAGGAAACGTTCTCCAATTTAAACAGATCTCAATAAAATCTCATATAGTGCTCAGTGAAGTGGTTCTCTGTTTAATAGTCAGGAAGAAGGCAGAGCAGGGTTGTGAGCCTTTGGAAATGTTGTTTGTAATTTCTGGTAAAGAAAACTTGTTAAATTACTTGTTGTAGAGTGTTCTGTTAAAATCCATATTACAGTGTCTCTTTTGATAGGTAAATATCTACTTAAAAATGAATATTAAGGAGGAAGCTTTATAGCTACTTTAGTTAAGTATAACCTATAGTTAACTATAAACTGCTTACCTAGTTTTAAACTATTGCACTGGTTGATTGTATTAAAATACTAATAACCAAATGGACAGATTCCCTCTTAAAATTATATTAAAGTGAAATATAAATCAATGTTTCATTAATACTATTAATGTTAGTATTAATTTAGCTCCAATCCAAGATTGAGACTAGTTTGTTTCTACTGTTGATTTAATAATCAGTTGATAATGTTTTGATAATTTTTTATACTTAACTTAGTATTATTAATATCTCTAGAATTTGGTAATATGTAATGAGGTTTAAGAATCTTTCAAGGCCTATGGGGAGCAGTAGCCTATCCAACCAGTAAGTAGCCATAATTAATTAGTGTCACCCAAGGGTCTACTGGGGGCCTAACACCATACAAAATGCAACCTCAACTGTGGCCACACTTGTGTCTTTAAAGACTATCACCAAAAATGACAAGCACGCTGAAGACAATTTAAAAACTTGTATTAGAACAGATAAGCAGCAACAACCAAATTTACAATAACCAGAATTGATTATATACAACATTGAAAACTATAATACAACAATCCAATTAGAGCCACTAGCATTAATCAGTTGTAACTGAACCCCCAAAATACCTTAATTTAACAATCGGGTCAGGAAAAAGAGAATTAATCCTGGAGAGCTATATCTGAGAGATCTGTCCGGAAGCAAGGGAGGGCTGATATCTTGCAGTTGAGCTTGAACAGAGGGGACTGAACCTGAAGTCTGTGAGCTGCCACACTGCTGCAGGTGCACCACGCTCAGGACTGAAGGCTTCTGGAAGACCTAGTTCACCAGCCAACCAGAACGATTGTTGTCCTTTTCAGGATCAGTTGTCTTACCAGTATCTCTCTTTCTCACACACCTTCTCATCACTATTCTTCAGACACTCTGTCACAAACTCAGGCTCAGTCTCACCCTCAGACTCGCACAAGAACAGTCTCAGGAGGATACAGTTGCACAGAATATGCTGCGTATAAGAGCACCACCTTTTTCAGAACCAGTTTTCCATTGTATCCTATGACTAGTAAACACCAGGTGTAGAGGACCAGTTTCCAGTGAAGAACCTCCGAATATTTAGCCCCTAGACTGGTGTTAAAGCACTTTTCTGGGAAGTAGGACCTATAGGTTAAAACCCCCTCTAGGGGCCTAGAAAACTACCTTTCCTGCTCCCTGGTGAAATGCCCAAACTACGAAGCTAAAAGGTTGAAAGGCCACCCTCTTTTTTCTCATCCTATATTTTACTTACTGCAAATATAAACTCAGGGAAATTATTATTGAGCCATAGGGAGGAATGAAATTCTACACTGTACAAGAAGTGCCAAAAACTGCAGCTGTGTGGTTATATATGTACCATTTGCACATGTAAAGCCAAATTCATTTAGCCGTTAGTGTGTCAATATGTGGTTACTGGTCTGTCTGTCCTGTATGAACAAAATCAGGACTTGTATGCTCAATTTCTGTTAAGAGTTGCACATGTGGCTGGGTGGATGGGTGGGTTTGTGTCACTTGGTGGGTGGCTGGGTGGGTGAGACATGTGGCTGGGTGTGTGTGTTTGGTGTGTGCCTGGGTGGGTGGGTAGCATGCGGCTGTGTGTGTGGGGGGGGGTGGTGGCATGTGACTGGATGTGTGTATGACATGTGACTGTGTGTGGGGGGGGTGGCATGTGTATGTATCTCTGTGTGGTGTGTGGCTTGGTGGGTGGCTCTGTGTGTGTGTGTGTGGTGTGTGGCTGGGTGTGTGTGTTTGGCGTGTGCCTGGGTGGGTGGGTGGCATGTGGCTGGGTGTGTGTGTGGTATGTGACTGGGGGGATGTGGGGGGTGGCATGTGACTGGATGCGTGTGTGGTGTGTGGTTGGGTGTGTGTGTGGCATGAGACTGGTTGTGTGTGTGGCATGTGGCTAGGTATCTGTGTGTGTGTGTGTGGCTTGGTGGGTGTGGCTGTGTGTGTGTGTGTGTGTGTGTGTGTGTGGCTTGGTGTGTGTATTTGGCGTGTACCTGTGTGTGTATGTGTGTGGTGTGTGGCTGGGTGGGTATGGCATGTGGCTGGGTGGGTGGGTGTGTGGTGTGTACCTGGGTGTATGTGTTTCATGTGTGGCTGGGTGGGTGGCATGTGGCTGGGTGTGTGGCTGCGTGTGGCATGTGGCTCTGTGTGTGTGTGTGTGTGTGGTGTGTGGCTGGTGGGTGGGAGAGTGTGGGTCGGTATGGCATGTGGCTGGGTGTGTGTGTGTGTGTGGTATGTGACTGTGTATGGCGGTGGCATGTGATTGGAGGTGTGTGTGGTTGGCGGTGTGTGTGTGGGTGTGGCGTGTAGCAGGGTGGGTGTGTGTGTGGTTAGTGGCTGGGGGGGGGGGGTATATGTGTGTGTGTGTGTGTGCGGTGGGTGGGTGGCTGGGTGTGTGTGTGGCATGTGGCTGTGTGTGTGTGTGGTGTGTGATTGTGTGTGTTTGGCATGTGGCTGGGTGGGTGGTGTGTGTGTGTGGTGTGTGCCTGGGTGTGTGCGGCATGTGGCTCTGTGGGTATGTGTGGTTTGTGGCTCTGTGTGTTTGGCCTGTGGCTGGGTGTGTGTGTGTGTATGGCATGTGACTGGATGTGTGTGGGGAGGGGTTGGGGTGGCATGTGACTGGATGTGTGTATGGCTTGTGACTGTGTGTGTGTGGGGGGGTGGCATGTGACTGTATGTGTGTGTGGCATGTGGCTGGGCATGTGTGTGTGTGTGTGTGGTGTGTTGCTTGGTGGGTGGCTGTGTGTGTGTATGGTGTGTGGCTGGGTGTGCGTGTTTGGCATGTGCCTGGGTGGGTGCAGGGCATGTGGCTGTGTGTGTGTTTGTGGGTGGGTGTGGTATGTGAGTAGTTGTGTGGGGGGGTTGGTGTGGCATGTGACTGGATGTGTGTGTGGTGTGTGGTTGGGTGTGTGTGTGTGGCGTGTGGATAGGTGTGTGTGTGTGTGTGTTTGTGGTGTGTGGCTTGGTGGGTGTGTGTATTTGGTGTGTATGTGTGTGTGTGGTGTGCAGCTGGGTGGGTATGGTATGTGGTTGTATGTGTGAGTGTGTGGCTGGGTGTGTGGCTGGGTGGGTGGGGTCTGTGGCTGGGTGTGGCATGTGGCTGGGTGTGTGTGGCATGCGCCTTGGTGGGTGGGTGGTGTGTGGCTGGGTGGGTGGGGGAGTGTGGGTGTGTATGGCGTGTGGCTGGGTGTGTGTGTGTCATGTGGCTGGGTGGGTGGGTGCTGTGTGGCTCTGTGTGTGTGTGTGTGTGTGTGTGTGTGTAGCTGGGTGTTTGTGTTTGTGTTTGGCATGTGGCTGTGGCATGTGGCTGAGTGTGTGGTGTGTAGCTGTGTGTGTGTGTGTAGCTGGGTGTTTGTGTTTGGCATGTGGCTGTGTGTGTGGCCTGTGACTGTGTGTGTGGGGGAAGGGGTGTCATGTGACTGGAGATGTGTGTGGCATATGGTTGGGTGTGGGTGTGTGGTGTGTAGCAGCGTGGGTGTAGCGTGTGGTTGTGTGTGTGGTTAGTGGCTTGGTGTGTGTGTTTGGCATGTGGATGGGTGGGTGGTATGTGTGTGTGCAGTATGTGGCTGGGTGTGTGTGTGGCGTGTGGCTCTGTGGGTGTGTGTGGTTTGTGGCTCTGTGTGTTGGGTGTGTGTGTGTGTGTGTGTGTGTGTGTGTGTGCCTGCATGGGTGTGGTTGGGGGTTGGGTGGGTGTGGCATGTGGCTGTGTGGGTGTGTGTCAGGTGTACACAAAGCAGGGGGTGTTGCGCGCGGTGGCGGGACGCGGGGCGGTGGGTGGTGGCGCTCCGTCCCCGCCGCCTGCCCCTCCTTGTTGCCGGGCGCTCTGCTAGTTACCACGTAGAAATGCGCACACCGCGCTGGCACCCCGAGGAGACGGGGCGGTTCCAGGTGTTATGAACAGCCCTTGAACCAACAGCCGGCTGGAAGTCCATCTCCCCCCTCTCGCCCGCGCTCCTCTCCCAAGCTCACCTCCTTGTGGGGAGGCCCTGGGAGGGTGACGGACACGTGGGCGAGCTGACGTCCCCTCACACACTTGTCTGTGCCACGGCGGGGGGACCCTTTGCAGCCTCCCATCCCCAGTGAGGGGAGTGAGCGCCACACACACTGCCCCACTGAGGGGGTGCGGAGAGGAAATCCCCCTCACACACTCATGTCCCTAAGTGTGGGGAGGCAGCATGGAAACCCCCTGAGCTTCCCTCCCCTCATACCCGCCCCTCAGTTGACACCTCAAGCTGCCGCTGCTCTGCTAGGGCTGGGGCCATCTCGCCGGCGGCCATCGCTGCCTGCAGCAGCTCCAAAACCGCGAGGAGAGAGCGCATCCGTCTTGTTTGGGCTCTTTCAATGCGTTGCTTCCTTAGCGGCCCAACCAACATGGCAGTCCCGGTGTTTTGCAATGCGTGTTTCCGACAGCCCCAAAAGGCAACCCCCAGGTTCGGCCTCACCAACTGCGGCCATGTTTTCTGTGAGCTTTGTCTCCGGAAAGGTAATGCGCTTGGGGGCTCAGGCCGTGCGCTCTGTGCAGGTTTCAGTCTGTCAAAGTCACCTCATGAGTTTTATTTTCCTCAGGCCATAATTTGCAAATGGTTGTGGGACAGGAAGGAATCGGGTCGCTGGAAAGAGCATCCCGTAGCTCCCCGGGGCTTTCAGTACCACGAATTTCACCCACTGCCCCTTTTATGTGAGCAGAAGATCCTAAATCCAGGTCCTATTTTTCAGTATAGAAAACTGATAAAAGCCTGAGTGTTTCCTACCCATCTCCCCACTTTTTTACTCTGGAATAAGCCTTGTGGTTGTAATTAAAATAAAATGCCATTTAAGAAATCCTTCTTTTGGCTTTAAATACTACAGTGTGTACAAAGCCGTGAGACCTTGGAAACAGGTCTTAGGCTTTGGTAGAACTTGAGATTTTAATAGGTCGGAGTCTAGACGGGTATGCCCATGGAGATAAAATGAGAGGTTTACCTTGTCTCCCTCATTTTGAAAGGCTTTTTCTCCCCTCTCCATTTGTCCATGGATTTCAGAACAGTTTTCAAAGTATAGGATATGTGTTATCTAGTTTTCCTAGTTGTTACAGACATTTTAAAACTCTTGATTATTATGACATTTCACTTCTTCAAGTTGTGACCATTTGAATGTTTCAGGACCCCTAAAAGCAGGGGAATAGAAGCAGCATTTTAGGATTTCACATTGTGTTTCTGTAAGTGTAGCAAAGATTTGAGAGCTGTATGAGTTATACTTTAATTTGAAATATGAGAGAGAGACAGGAGACAGGAGATTTCTCCAAGGTTCCTATGAATATCAGACACCAAATATGGCAGTTCTTCCCTTTCCCTGTCTAACTGCAAAGTCACTTCAACAGATCTGGTTTTCTTCAGGGCCTATGGAAAAAACACAATTTGTATTTTTAATTTTAAAAGAAATCTTCAGGAATTAACTAGTATTGGCAGTGGAATTAGTTAACAAAAAGTAGACGAAGTGCAGCCCTTTTGCTTAAACACAGCTTGCAGAATCCAAAAAGGTGACCTGCAGCTGCTCTCTCTTCTTAAATGCTGCATACAAAGAAAACTCAAACAATAATCACAGTAAACATCCCACTCTGAATACATATACAAATCAATGTGGGAAGCTCAACTTACTGTGAATCAGACTGCCCTTCCTTCAAAGAAAATCTGCTGTAACTCAAACAGTAATCACAATAATATCAATTTAGGTTTTCATCTCCAAAGTTGTTTATAAACATTAATCAAAACTTAACAGCGCTGCATTTTTTAACAAGATATGCCTATTTAACAAGGACGATATATCCAGACACACACACACATACATGCATGCATACACACATATATATCAATATTATGGTTTGGGGTAAATATTTATAATGATTGTTAGTGTTTTTGCAAAAGCTAAAATGTATTTTAGAAAATGAGGAGGACATGATGTTCAGGAATAAAAGTTTAAGTCAGTTGAAGTTAATGGCAAAAATCCTGGGGTGGTTTCTACTAAAGTCCAAATTTTACAAATTTTACCTAGAGACTTGAATGTGAGCAAGATTAAGCCAAAGGCATTTTAAACAGTTATACTTCTGATTGTCTGCTCCATCACAGGATTTCACTATGCATTTGAATTTAAGCACCAGAGTAGCCCCACTGAAATCAATAGACAATTGATTTCAATGGGACTACTGGTGTATAGTTGCTCACATGATAGATAGACAATTGCAGAACTCAGACCTGGTTCCCATTGCACATTTTCCCCCCGTACAATCACGTGCTTACATTCTGGAAAATCAAATCCTTTATATCCCTTTATTTGCAAAGTATGGACATCCTTCAGTTCCTGGAATAAGCTTTGAACCAAAAGTCTAAGCACCAAATTAATCTCTATGATATATAAATACAACTGCCATTCAATAAGACTTATACTTTATATCCATATTTGTCTTACAGGCAAAGATAATGAATGTTTGATCTGTAGAGCTGCTTGCCGTACAATATTTCTTTCAAAACAGGTAAATATAAGGCTTTAGTATTAGTAGCAATTGCATTATTAGTTGGTTTTTTTATACCAGAATTATGACACAAAACACTTTTGTTCTGTCTGTCATTTGCACCATGGATATTTATTAGTAGTAGACACAGATGCTTTTTTTTTTTTTATAACTATACAGGGCATATATTCATATACTACTTCAAACAGAACTATATGTAGGTATCTGAGGTTTCCAGACTTTATGGACCTTCAAGAAACTGGTTGTTGGTTATGACAGAAGTTTGCTGACTGCTGTCAAAAATACAAAGACCCTGCTCATGACCAGACCTCAAATCAATTAATTCTTTCCTCCTATGGTTTACAGTTCGTTATACTGGGATTGGATTATCTGTACACCCCAGTAAAAATGCACAGCTTGCATGACTTACTGTCGTCCTTGTACTCCCTGTACTTGTCATCATGCACAGCTTCAACAGTTTGTGTGTGTGCTGGAAATATTTTTCACTTTCTTAAAAAAAAAAATGCTGTTTCCTACCCCCAGCATTACCTTCAGTTGTGCTGGAGGATTGCACAGGAACATTTATTGGGATTTTTTTTTTTCATTTCACCAAAGAACTGGACAACCCTCATTCCATTCTTGTATTAAGAAGGTGCCAGAAAAATTAATCTTTCCTCCTCCAAGCCATGCAACTTCTTTTCCTTAGTTAAATGGTATCTATGGAAGCACATTACTTTTGCTCCCTGACTGACTGACTTGACAGTGAGGTTACACATGTAATTTCCATTCAGGTAAGGGGATTGTAGTGAGCATTCACAGTGGATCCAAAACTGTTGCCACGAGCCCATTTGGGAGGTTGTGATCATTAAAAAAGGCAGCCTTGGTAGGACATGCTGGAGCAAAGGTTGAAGTCAGTGTTACACTGCTGCAAAAATGGGCTGTAGTGGAAAAGAAGATGTTTTGGAACAAGCTAATCATAAGTTACAGTGAATTCTGTCTCCATTGCTATCAAGGGCAGAAGCATAACTGGATGCTTGGGTGCCCCATGTAGCAGCCATGCACAGGGCAGTATCAGCAACTGTGCTAGCATGGACGTAGCAGTAGCAATGCTGGCAGCTCAGCTGCTGCCCTTTTTGCACAACCTTTCTGGTCACCCCCCTCTTCACTATGTTATTGATCAAGGGAGTTTTACTATTGATTTTTGTGAGACCAGGATTTCAATATTCATTTGTAATATGTCATCAAAACTTGATACAATCTAAATCAAGCTTTTTAAGGAGTCTGCGAATGGAATAGCTGAGCTACTAATAAAAAAAACATTGTTTTATTAGAAACTGTCACTCTTCTAGAGGACAGGAATTTAAGAAACTACTGTATCTTTTAGGAAGGCACTTAACAGTGATTTGCAAGCTTTGTTTAAATAAGCAAGTAAATTATAATAGGGCTGTGCGAGGCTTTGGACAGAACTTTGGATTTGGAGAAGCTTCGGATGCTTTGGGGTCCGGAGCAGCATGTCCGGGTCGAAGCGTTGGCCTCATTCGGCTTCCCGAAGCGGTTTGGAGCTTCTGAAGAGTTTCGGAGCCACCTCAGAGATCCAGCCATAGGGTATATTGGGGAAAAAAATAACATATCTATAACTTTGTTGTTTTTTGTCTGATTTAGATTACATTTTCAGGAATGGTAGACTCTGCAGAGAGAATGAAGCCTGCCAAGTTTCAAGAAGATCCATGCAGGGGTTTGTGGGGGGAACAGCACCCCAAATTCTTGAAAACAAGACTCATGTCATGTCTAAGCGTTAAAACATAGCAGGGTGAAAAATGCAGGGGTGATAATTCTTACTGAGGCCATAAAGCCTGCCAAGTTTCAAGACTATCAGTGCAGAGGTTTGGGGGGAACTGCCCCTCAAGCTGAGGACAAGCAAAACTCGTGCCTGGGTGCTTGTGGGACTGACTCTCTGGGGGCCGGGAGGGGAGACACTGCTGCAGGCCTGGCTGCTAAGCTGCTGTGTTCCCAGTTACCAATCAATCAATCATGATTCACTCAGGGACCAGGGACTCAGGGACCAGCTCAATACACAGGACCTAGCTACTACATAATGACTTAAGGAGCATCAATTAGCACCTACAAAACCAGGGTAAGGAGAGGAAAGAATCAATACAGACAATCAACTGCCCCAAGACAGACACAGTCTTGGCATGAGTTTTGTCTGTCAGCAGCTAGGGATGCAGGGCACCAGAACCCCCCTGCACCGAGCTCGTCGAAAGCTGGCAGGCGTCACAGCAGGGGCCACCATCCCTGCAGCTGTCACCCCGCTGCGCCTTAACACACACACTGTCACCCATGGCACAAGTTTTGCTTGTCTGCAGCCTGAGGGGCAGTTCCCCCCAAGCCCCTGCACCGATCTCCTTGAAACTTGGCAGGTTTCATGCTCTCAGCAGAGGCTACCATCCCTGCATGTTTCATCTAAATCAGACGAAAAAACAACAAGGTTATAGATATTTCATTGATTTCCCATTATACCCTATGACTGGATCTCTGCATCTGCTCCAAAGCTTCGGAGCCACTTCGGCGGGATTGAGGTGGAAACCCAGTCCGGAGCTCTGGATAGGATCGCTGCCATCCAAAGCGGCTGGATCCAAAGCCAGATCAGATCACTGCCGACTCACACAGGCCTAAATTATAATGATGATTAAGGATCAACAGAAAAAATGTGTTCATACAGGTCATTAAGCGATTATTTCAGAATAGTTTAAGTACGTTGCTGAAGCAAGGGCTCGTTGTTTATTATTTTAAGATACGATATTAACACCAATAGTGCTCTGTGCAATAATTCATAATTTGAACATTTGTTACAAATTCTTATTTTTAACATTTTTGATCTAAGAATGAACCTCTAAATGGCTTTTACATCTTTAGTATATTTCTCCTATGAATTTAATTTAGTGTCTTTGTTTTTTCACTATACCCATGAACAGAGTTTATAGCCTGTCCTTTTAAATATATCTTGAAGACACATACTCTATTTTATTATTATAATGGCTACAGTTCAATGAAACTTTGTTTTCTTATATAGGAAAATTGAAGTCAGCTATCCAGCACTGAGATGACCTAATGCTGCTTTAATTTGAAATAGTTACACAGCTAGATGGTATTGGATTAATTTTTATCTACGTATCAGTTTACAAATACACCATTGATGAAATATCCAAAAACAAGATAATCACTTTCTAACTTATCTAATGATTTTAAAATATGCTGTATTTAAACCTTTTCCAAATATCAATACTAGTTTTGGTAATATTAGTTGTTTTTTTTCTGTAGACAAATACTGATATTCAATCACTGTTTATGGGAGTAGAAATGCTGTGCAAGAAATACTCAAGAGAAATTACCCAGGTGAGTCTAGTGAAAAAAAGGTTTATAAGATTTGAGTTCCATCTGTCAGTCAGAATCCAGATACTTTGTGCTTTTATTTTTTTCCCTAGAAGCTGAGATTTCCTTTGTAAAATTGGTTGTTTGTCTTTTGTCTTTAAAGGATTTTATATATTTCTGTCTTTGACCTGATCTGTAAATGTACTCATCAGTTCCCATTGGCTTCAATGTAAATGGCAAAATTGTATGACTAGATCATTTTCCCCTTTTGCTTTTTTGAGTCTTCAGTTCAGAGATGCTTAGAAATTTATAAATTCCCCATGAGGGCTGCTATTGTTTCTTAAATGTGTTACTGACTACCACTATGGTCATTTTAATAATGAACAAATATTTGTCAATGCAAAAAAAGGTATAGAACATTATAGATTTCATAGATTTCATAGACATTAGGGCTGGAAGGGACCTCGGAAGATCATCGAGTCCAGCCCCCTGCCCAAAGGGCAGGAAGTCAGCCGGGTTCATAGGATCCCAGCAAGATGAGCATCCAGTTAGCTCTTGAAGCTGTTCATTGTAGGCGCTAGAACCACCTCCGGTGGCAGGCTGTTCCAGACCTTGGGGGCTCGGACAGTAAAGAATTTCTTCCTTATGTCCAGCCTGAAACGGTCTTGTAGTAGTTTATAACCATTCGAACTAGTCGTCATCCCTTGGGGCGCTCTGGTGAACAAACGTTCCCCCAGATACTGGGGGTCACCCCTGATAAACTTATAGGTGGCCACCAGATCACCCCTGAGCCTGCGCTTTTCCAGGCTAAAGAGCCCCAGGGCTCTCAGCCTGTCATCGTCGGGTCTGCTTCCCTGACCTCTGATCATGCGCGTGGCTCTTCTCTGGACTCTCTCAAGCTTCTCCACATCCTTTTTGAATTGTGGAGCCCAAAACTGGACACAGGACTCCAGCTGTGGCCTCACTAAGGCCGAGTACAGGGGGAGAATGACGTCCCGAGATTTGCTTGAGAAGCATCTATGGATGCAAGCCAGCATTTTGGTC